GAACATGTTTCCGCTCAGATGTTCTAGATCTATTACCGTCAACTATCAACAAACAAATTCCATCTACAATCATGCTCAAGTGTGCGAACTCAGAAGTCGTCAATGTTAAAACGCTCAGCTCCCCAATTGACGTCAAATTCGAAACAAGCTCTTCGCCACTAAGATTGAAGTTAGATCCGCTCATCGTTCAAAATTTATCGTGCCCGATCATTTTGGGAATGGATGCTCTCAAGGGGATAACGATCGGAGAAAAATCAGTCACTTTATTTAATAAGAAAATTCCAACAATAGATCCGAACTCAACTGATTTGTTCTTAACTGGCCTTATTGAAATCGACAAGAATTCTGGTCGTGAGAAAGAAGATTACGAAGCTTTCTTGAAGAGGCGATCAGAACAAGCCCAGAAAATCAATTTTGTTCCAGCTATTGGTTCTTATGGTGCAACTGACTTTGACTGTTTCCGATTTTGAGCGTGAAAAATAGAGCGCAACGGGATAAGTTATCGATAATAAAGGCGTTATTCAAAATTCTAAATCCTAGGATGGAAAGATCAAACACTCTTCTACAAACTGATCTTTTGTTCAAAAAATAGTTGGAATAGTTCAGAAGTTCTATGCGGTTAACGAAACCCCGAGCTTTTCAACTGCTTCTGTGATCACGAAATTGCTGATTTTTGGTCGGCTAATAGAGAGAGCTTCAAAGATCATGTAGGAATAATCTTCCAAACTCTAGATTTGAGTTCAATTTGAAAAATATCGCCAGAGCGGCCGTGAGGCGAGCGCAAGGCCCCGCGCCGATTTTCTGCATTACCCTTAAGGGAACGTCGACGATAATCAGGCATTTCTCAACCAAAATTTTTTTATACGATAAATAATCGAAGAATTCTAATATTTCAGGTATCAAGAAATGCCTTTGAAGAATACATGAGCGTGAAGAAAAAAATTTTTTGAAAAAATGTAATCAAAAAATAAAAAAGTCGAAAAGATTTCTCCTATTGATCTCATCTGTAAATAAATTTATATCTCAAAATGAGCCTGAACGGCCCATTAAGTAAAAGCCGATTTTTGTGCGACCACCCTAATCATATGACAAAAATCAATTTTTCACCGTTCACTCCCTATATATATGGTGTAACGGTCCTTTTGGCGATGGCGTAACGTTCCGATATGGCCTATTGGTCCGAGTTTTTAATAAAAATTCCCGAGAACGCAAAAAATAATCTATGCATAATTTAAATTTTATCCCGTCCCTCCTCTGGTTCCCCTCTTTCCAAAAATTTTCATTTTTTTTCGTGAAGTACAATTTTTCAAAAGCGCTCGACACAGGATGACGTGGACATGTACACAGGTCCTGTGTCCGTTTGGAACCAAAAAAATCTTGATTTTACGAATGCACTCAGACAGTTTTAATAAGTTACAGGAGAGTAGGGATAAATATTTCGGTATAGAAAGAAGAGACTTTTTATTTCTCACTAAAACCTAACCCGAACCCGGAGGCTTACCGAAATATTTTTCCATACTACGAGTTACAGTGGTTTTCCATTTTAAGAGCGTTTTTCAGATGACAAGAGTCGATCAAAACGCTCTGAAATTGGGCGAAAACCATTGTATTCAAAAAATCCTTTTCTAGAACACTTTTATAAGCTAAGTTTTATGTCTTGCTAAAAATACCGTGGTTTCCATCTTAAGAGCGCCCGACTTAAGAGCGTTTTTGCGTATATTGTAAAATGTTGTCATCTGCAAAAATTCCAACTTAAGAGCGTTGTTAAGATTTTTATTTACAGTGATAACCCATTTTAAGGCCGACCCTTTTAAGGCCACTTTTCCGAAAAATCTCAAAAATCTGTCATCCTTAAAAAATCCACTTTAAGGCCACTTTTTTCAATTTCTATTCAAAACCCGAAAGTTGCAGTGTCACTTGAAAAAGCTTTTTATCTTCGACTGCCCGATGCCTCCTGTTTTTATATTTATTCTTATTTTTTGGTACTCTTCGATGATTTTTTCTCGAATTATACAATTAGCGATGATTTCTTACGGTCCTGTCTGAATTTTTACTTAGATTTGACTCCAAGTAATTAAATTTATCATTATATTGGCGTCAAAAAATACGCAGAGAAATGTCTTAACCATTTTTCTTTCGAAAAAGCTCATTAATTATCTTCTTCACGTAACTTTTCTTTGACGTCTTCACTAGAATCTCTTCATATCTTTTTTTCTTATGATTCGTCATGTTACATGACTCATGAGTCATGAGTCATGTTGTTCCTTTTTTCAGACATGTTTTTCGAATATAATTTTTAAAATAATGAAAGAAAGAATCACCTTGAGTTCAATTCAAAAATCGGCCTTAAAATGGGTTTTTACTGTATGTAAAGAGGTATTATCATATATCAAAATGATCCCCAGAACACGAGGAATCTAATCATAGGCGATAATGACCGGTGCAAAAGTTTTGAAAAATCGGGGGGGGTGATCCCTTATGACAGTAGCGCATGGCGCTAGAGTTCATTGGTGCTGGCGGAGCTTCGGCGATAATGCACGCTTATGCAGATTGTTCGCCGTCAAACCGAAGCACCTGTCGCAGTCATCAGAATCGTTGCGGGACACGTCCTTTTGCTGGGAATTGCCTATCCATCTGTCGAAGCAAAAAGTCCTCGACTTCTTATGATAGCTCAAAAAGTATGAAAAAAGGGGGTGTTAAACTATGATATTATTTAAATTTTATCGATTCCTGCTTCCACTGCAAATATTGAACGGGTTTTCGGTAGAGTTAGCAAATATCTTCACGATCCGAAAAGAAGTCGAATCGAGGCGAACACGGTGCTGTTACTCAAACAATTTTCAATGACGCAAAGATTCGAAGAAGAACTTACGAAATATTGCAAGGAAAACAATATTCCTCTTGAATAATCTTTCTATAATGTTTCAAACTATTTTTTCATCAATAAATTTTTTCAATGAAGAAGAAAAAAACATAAAAACAGGAAAACAACCATTTTTACAAAAATTTGAAACACTGGGCGTAATGAATATTTAAATTTGGTAAAAAATATTTTTTAGTTTGCGTCATTCTCGAATTATCTTTTGAACCCGATGCTGTATACTATACAGTGTATAGTCTATACAGTATAGTCTATACTGTATAGAGGATGCTCAGTGTAAAATTATTCGATAACTTTTCGCGTTTCTTTTTCTCCCCATTCATTTTTTCTATCACCACCATTTTGATCCCGATCAATCGTCGCATTAACTTCTTTTTCGGGAAACCCTTGGGTGCTTTATTTCTCGGATATTGCAAAATTATCAGATTTTTGATGAGCATTTGATGAGTTCTTGTAAGCACTACGTCTAAACTCGCCAAGGATCAACCAAAGCTTTATATTATAAAATAGGTGGTGGTCTAAACTTTGAAGTTCATATGTGCGATAACAACTTCGGGTGGCCTAAACTTTGATCGTTCTCATGTGTGATTCTTTGAGAAAGTGGCCTAAACTTTGAATTTCCCCGGAGGCGCTTCTGCCATCGGTGACTAGAGCACTGCCCTACGCTTTATGCAGACCAATTAGGATTACGCTGCATTCAAGGTGATGACACACATGGAACTAGTCAGAGTGCCTCAGGGGAAATTCAAAGTGATTAACCGTGATTATCATTTCTGAGTGACTATTCTTGTCCGCCTACGCTCGTCATTTTAACATTTTCGCATAGGAAAAATGTTATAACGAAAAATTGTCAATGTTAATTGACGGAGCGTAGGCGGACACAGTAGTCATCTAGAAATGATAATCGCGGTATATTTGTATTTATATTGTATTTGTATATATTTGAAGGCGAGCAATCATCTAGAAAATAAATTGGGACCGCCCGCTTTTAAAAACTACGTATCGCAAGCGTGCCGCAGCAGTAGACAGCATTACTACTTATGGGAAAAACAAAGAGCTCAATTAAATAATTAAATTGCAAAATTATCGAAACCCTGCCGAATAAAGCTCGTATTTAAAAATTCATTGGAGACAATTATCTTTAATTCACGCTCGTTCAATTTAAGAAAAAATTCTAGAATGAACTAAGCCGAGCAAGCGCCGCCTGTTTTTATTTTTTCAACTTCTCAGAAATCGACGTTCGTTCATCATAAATTTCAAAAAAGGGCTAGATACAAAAGCTAATAGCTTTTCTCTTTCAATAACAATTATTTCATAAAAATAAATAATTTAAAAGAAAAAATAGGAATAAGGGTGAGGTAGGGTTCGCAATGAAAAAATTTTTGGTCCAAAAAAAATTGTTTAGATATTAATAGATCAAAATTAACAATTGTAATTTGACCTCAATAAGTCCAGAAAGTAAAAAAAAATCGGATTAATTATCCGATAAATGATTTTGTTAAAATTTTTTCGGAAAAATGAGGTTTTCTCGCCATGAGGGGGCAGGGCAACTTTGCGTCGCTGATATAATATAGTCTATATTATATAGATAAGGAATTCTCAAAACATATTTAAGTAAGTTTGTGTCATTAGAAAGAAACGCGTGGGCGCATTTCACATTTAAAGTTTATATTAACCAAAATTTTAAGATGACCTTATAAAATGCTGACTAATAATCAAATAAACCTTATTAGTTTATTTTTGTACATTTAAAGAAAGCGATTGAAATTAAAGAATGAAGAAAAAAGAAGTGAATTATCGATTACTAAAATCTAATATCCCGCTATGCCTATTTTTAAGATAAACTTATATAAAAAAGAGATCTCATATATTATCAGTGATCCCATAATTATTCCTATTGTTGGATGGTTAATCGGTAAGCCCTGTTTCATCTGGGGAGACATAAAAAAAATCTGATTTCAGATTTGAAACCCCACCATTTTTTCATTGCGAACCCTAGCTGAGCTTGAGAACAGATTCGGAAAGAAGCGAGTACATCATTAGAAAAGTGGATCAGTCCGGTAGAGCCATTGGAACCGTGAAAATCGAAAAAGATGCAAAGTTTTCGCCTTTTTCAAAAATGAAGAAGCAGCTGGAATTTGTAGAAGTTCGACAATACATTCCCCCAGTAAAGTCTCGCGACTCTCACAAACTCGCGGAAATTGTTGCCTTTTCGATCGAGCACAGGTTTTCTGAGCCATCAACGCAGAACGATCCTGTTTCCATAGGTGCACGTTGGCGAATGGAATGCTTGACACCTGGCAGTACTTCAAAATCACAGGTACATGAAAAAGCTTTTTTGTGATATGATAAACGAAAGATAAGCCTTGTGATCAAGTTGTGAATCTTTGGCTGAAGAACAAGATAAAGACTGCTGTTGCTTTGTATGGAGCTCGACTTGGGCCTTTTCGAGGAGCGTGTCCGACTCGATCATGGGTTATCAAAAAGGTTTAAAAAAGATTTTACAGAACAATATTAAATTAAAATTAAGGCCTTCCAATTGATGCTTGAGATTCCGAAAGAAACGATCGACGCGTCTTGGAGAAAAGTGAATCTTGAGCATCCAATGATCCATGAAGACTTTATCTTTGAAGTCGATGATGAAGAAGAAGAAATCGAAGTTGGTGCTCAAAATGGACAAGTTGGGGATGGTGCTCAGATGGAGGAAGAAGCCGAAGTTGGTGCTCAAAATGGAGAAGTTGGGTATGGTGCTCAGATGGAGGAGGTAGCGGATGAAGGATATCAAAATGGACAAGGCGGAGAAGTTGGTCAGATGATAGACGAAATGGTAGCTGAGATTGATTGGGAAATGGTTGGAGCAGAGAATGAAGCTTACGGTGGTGCTCAAATTGAAGAAATCGATGATGAAATGGAAGAAAATGGAGGAGAAATGGATATTGGTAGGGTAAACGCACAAAAAATCAGCTTTTTTTCTAGGGGTCGTAGAAACTTTATTTTTGGTGACGTGATTGCCCAACATGAAAAACTAAAATTTCCGAAAAAAAATTTTTAAAAAAACCACCTGACATCATTCTAGCGCCCTCTAAAGGGCTCCAAAAATCTATTTTTCGAGTGGATTGAGTTACAAAGCCGTGGAAGGTCTCATTCGACGCGCCTTGAGATTCTGATCATTTTGAGACAAAAAAATTTAGTGACAATACTTCTGATCGATCAGGAATCAGCTGGAGGACCTCTAGCTCCTTGCTGGAAGACCAGAAATTTACTGGAAGAATGAAGATTTTTAAATTGAAGTAAATTAAATCCTTAATTTTTTATAAAATTAAGAGATAAATATCATGTGATCACACGGAGGACTCTTGGAGGACTTTGTCGGGTTGAAAACATCAAGTTGGTGGAAGACATCAAAATTCAAAATTTTTATTATTTTGTTTATTTTTAATTAAAAATGGGCTTGACGGCCCGAAGGGCCGTCTCAGCCCCGTCCCTGGCTTTTTATTAAAAATGGGCTTGACGGCCCGAAGGGCCGTCTCAGCCCCGTCCCTGGCTTTTAATTAAAAATGGGCTTGACGGCCCGAAGGGCCGTCTCAGCCCCGTCCCTGGCTTTTAATTAAAAATGGGCTTGACGGCCCGAAGGGCCGTCTCAGCCGTCCTGGCTTTTAATTAAAAATGGGCTTGACGGCCCGAAGGGCCGTCTCAGCCCGTCCTGGCTTTTAATTAAAAATGGGCTTGACGGCCCGAAGGGCCGTCTCAGCCGTCCTGGCTTTTAATTAAAAATGGGCTTGACGGCCCGAAGGGCCGTCTCAGCCGTCCTGGCTTTTAATTAAAAATGGGCTTGACGGCCCGAAGGGCCGTCTCAGCCGTCCCTGGCTTTTAATTAAAAATGGGCTTGACGGCCCGAAGGGCCGTCTCAGCCCCGTCCTGGCTTTTAATTAAAAATGGGCTTGACGGCCCGAAGGGCCGTCTCAGCCCCGTCCTGGCTTTTAATTAAAAATGGGCTTGACGGCCCGAAGGGCCGTCTCAGCCGTCCTGGCTTTTAATTAAAAATGGGCTTGACGGCCCGAAGGGCCGTCTCAGCCCCGTCCTGGCTTTTAATTAAAAATGGGCTTGACGGCCCGAAGGGCCGTCTCAGCCCCGTCCTGGCTTTTAATTAAAAATGGGCTTGACGGCCCGAAGGGCCGTCTCAGCCCCGTCCCTGGCTTTTAATTAAAAATGGGCTTGACGGCCCGAAGGGCCGTCTCAGCCCCGTCCTGGCTTTTAATTAAAAATGGGCTTGACGGCCCGAAGGGCCGTCTCAGCCGTCCTGGCTTTTAATTAAAAATGGGCTTGACGGCCCGAAGGGCCGTCTCAGCCGTCCTGGCTTTTAATTAAAAATGGGCTTGACGGCCCGAAGGGCCGTCTCAGCCGTCCCTGGCTTTTAATTAAAAATGGGCTTGACGGCCCGAAGGGCCGTCTCAGCCGTCCTGGCTTTTAATTAAAAATGGGCTTGACGGCCCGAAGGGCCGTCTCAGCCGTCCCTGGCTTTTAATTAAAAATGGGCTTGACGGCCCGAAGGGCCGTCTCAGCCGTCCCTGGCTTTTAATTAAAAATGGGCTTGACGCCCCGAAGGGCCGTCTCAGCCCCGTCCCTGGCTTTTAATTAAAAATGGGCTTGACGGCCCGAAGGGCCGTCTCAGCCCCGTCCCTGGCTTTTAATTAAAAATGGGCTTGACGGCCCGAAGGGCCGTCTCAGCCCCGTCCTGGCTTTTAATTAAAAATGGGCTTGACGGCCCGAAGGGCCGTCTCAGCCGTCCCTGGCTTTTAATTAAAAATGGGCTTGACGGCCCGAAGGGCCGTCTCAGCCCCGTCCCTGGCTTTTAATTAAAAATGGGCTTGACGGCCCGAAGGGCCGTCTCAGCCGTCCCTGGCTTTTAATTAAAAATGGGCTTGACGGCCCGAAGGGCCGTCTCAGCCGTCCCTGGCTTTTAATTAAAAATGGGCTTGACGGCCCGAAGGGCCGTCTCAGCCCCGTCCCTGGCTTTTAATTAAAAATGGGCTTGACGGCCCGAAGGGCCGTCTCAGCCGTCCCTGGCTTTTAATTAAAAATGGGCTTGACGGCCCGAAGGGCCGTCTCAGCCCCGTCCCTGGCTTTTAATTAAAAATGGGCTTGACGGCCCGAAGGGCCGTCTCAGCCGTCCTGGCTTTTAATTAAAAATGGGCTTGACGGCCCGAAGGGCCGTCTCAGCCGTCCCTGGCTTTTAATTAAAAATGGGCTTGACGGCCCGAAGGGCCGTCTCAGCCCCGTCCCTGGCTTTTAATTAAAAATGGGCTTGACGGCCCGAAGGGCCGTCTCAGCCGTCCCTGGCTTTTAATTAAAAATGGGCTTGACGGCCCGAAGGGCCGTCTCAGCCCCGTCCCTGGCTTTTAATTAAAAATGGGCTTGACGGCCCGAAGGGCCGTCTCAGCCCCGTCCCTGGCTTTTAATTAAAAATGGGCTTGACGGCCCGAAGGGCCGTCTCAGCCGTCCCTGGCTTTTAATTAAAAATGGGCTTGACGGCCCGAAGGGCCGTCTCAGCCCCGTCCCTGGCTTTTAATTAAAAATGGGCTTGACGGCCCGAAGGGCCGTCTCAGCCGTCCCTGGCTTTTAATTAAAAATGGGCTTGACGGCCCGAAGGGCCGTCTCAGCCCCGTCCCTGGCTTTTAATTAAAAATGGGCTTGACGGCCCGAAGGGCCGTCTCAGCCCCGTCCCTGGCTTTTAATTAAAAATGGGCTTGACGGCCCGAAGGGCCGTCTCAGCCCCGTCCCTGGCTTTTAATTAAAAATGGGCTTGACAAAGGCCGGGATAAGAATACAGGACTAAGGTGATCAGTCTCAGTTCTGTCCCCAACCCCGCCCTCACCCGTAGATTATTTTTTCCATATTTCCCCTTCTGGTATTGCTCTTATGGTTTCTTTTCTTTGGAATTTTTTTGGAAGTTTTTATTTATAGAAAGCGGTTTTTATGAAGTTCATGATATTCTTTATATATTCCTGACTTTCACTTATATTGAATTCTTAATTTTTAATCAAAAATATTAAAAAATTTTTATTAAAAATTTTTTCTTTCAGCAATGGTTTGTTTTCCTTCGAAAAGTCCTCCGTTAGGTCCTCCGAAAAAAAGGGACGAAAAATTATCATTATTTTAGGGGTTGAAAAGGAGTAAGATGTATTTCTTTTGTCCTACAACAATTATTAGTCTCAATTAGTGTTACATAACAAGGTTACGTAACACTCTTCGGCAATTTCTGAGTCATCGGAGATATGGTCACTAAATTTTTTTTTATGAAAATGATCAGGAGCTTATTCTGCGTCGATCTAGCTATTCTAGAGTCTTCTCACATGATCCACTCAAAAGTTAGCCTTTTGCCTGGCTTAAAAAGGTTGAAAACCTTGAAAAATTTTGAAAAAAATTTGAAAAGTACTTTGGCATGATCTATCACCATGCCAAGTTTCAAGTCAATACTCTTTCGAGGGAAAAAGTTGATTTTTTTGTGCGTTTACCCTAGATATTGGCCCTGAGGAGATTCAATAGATCAAAGATTTTGAAGATTAGTTTTTTACTGTAAGATTTGACTGAAAAATTACAATGATAAAATAAAATTTTAATTAAAATAAAAGCTTTCTTAATAAAAAAAACGATTAGAAGTAAAATAAATCTTGTTTTATAATCATGCAGAATTTCTCTCCGTTAGAAATTTCGTCGAGTTCACTTCTGGGAGAATCAATTTTAGAAAAGGGGCGCATCGACTTTCAGCGATTCAGAGCGCGGATTCTTGGTGACTCTCTCTCGGATGGATTTTTACGAACTCAAACACCTAGTCAGTAGAAATTCTTACCAAAAAGCGATATTTGGTAGCATCATAACATACGATATGCGAATATTTCTAAGAGAGTAAAAAGGTAAAAAATGCACAGAAGTATTGAAAAAAGTTAAATTTCTGATTGAGAAAACTCGAGGGGGTGCGACAAGAAAAAACAAAAATCTCAAGAATTTTACTGAAAAAATAACGAGAAAAGACATGTTTTTGTTGTACGTTTCATTCGATAGATTCGATAAATTTTCAGCTCCGTCGGATATCGGCGATTTTTTTATCAAAGAAAACGAGCAAGATCACAAAGTTATCATCAATAATGTTTTCCAAATTAAGCACTTTTCTTCTACGTCTTTCACTCAATAAGATTCATTTATTTAGTCAAAATCGACGCCCGCTCAGCGGCTTAAGTGGTACGACGCTCTGACAAATTAAGTCGGTTTTTTAAATTAATCGATTATAGTTATATAACAATGCTTTTGGCAAATTTAAAAATGAACTTTTAAGATCTCATCAAATCAACAAAATATAACCTGTCTTGTAAATCTTATTAAAATAACAAAGAAGATAATCGAAGGCTTTGATATTCAGATATAATAGATTAAACTCATTCGCAAAACGCCATAGTTGAATAACATTTACAGAAGTTATTTTTTTCTCTATAAACTTATAACACTCAGCAAGTGGTGCTAAAAAACCAAAAAAATCGGCTTTTTAGACATTTAAAATGATAGCCTTAATTTTTATACGATTTTTTTCGTAGCGAGTTAATATGTCTTGTTTACCCTTAATAATTTAATCTCTCCCTTTTTTGGGCTAGCAAGTTAATTAGTCTCGAGAGATAGCGTTAATTTTTATCGAAATTTTTATGTGGCAAGTTCATATGTCTCGAAAAGCCTTAATTTATTTAATCTCTCCCTTTTTTTGGGCTAGCGAGTTACTTGAACGGCGTAACTTTATTTTTGCTTTTAACGAATTTTAATCCTCACAGCTGCATTAACCAGGTGCAGTGGGGAAGGGATAATATAAAGTTATTTTTCAGAAAAGCAAGCGAAAGTATGGCTAATCACCTGTGTAAACAATCACGGCGCGTGAACCTTAAAGCGCGCACAGGTGTGGCCTGAGGCGCATGAAGCAAAAAGTAAAGCGCTGTTTAAAC